CTCCCCGACACCCTCCGCGACAACATCACCCTCCCCGCCTCCCGGGGCCCTCCCTCCTCTCAATCCGAAATCCCCGCCTCCGCACACCCTCTCGAAGCCCGTCTGATTGCCTGGCGCCAAACGCAGGATGCAATGAAGATGGAGTCCCTGCGTCGGGCATACGGTATTGCGGAGCCCATCCGTCGCGGCATGGAACTGAAGCTCGTGCGGGATGGAACGTTCCGGCCGGCTGTGCTGGGCGGTGCAAAGGCCGGCAATGTTCATGAGGATATTCTTGTGCTCGGTGGACGGGATACGGAAGTCGGGTGGGAGGATGTGTTTAAAGGTTCGTCATCATTCTCCTCTACCTATATATCTCTACTCCATAGTACCTGGAGCTTGTGCTCGAGGATTGGCCCTCCATATACTGACTCAGCACAGGAGACGAGTTCAGAGAACCACCCACTTTCCACGACGAGATGGAGAAGAGGCTGCGGATGGATTTCTAAGCTACGTTTCGATTGCCGACTTCTGGTTTCTGTTTATGCTTCGTTGGTCTCGTTTATTTAATTCATCGTATGGGTCGTTATGATTCTTTATTCTCGATACAGGCGGGATGTGAACAAGAGGATTTTATAGGTGGCCCACTCATGATTTGATGGTCAAATACTACTAGATGCAATTAGACATACGGGTTGCATGGATGAATAAGTTGGGCTACACGTATTGGTCGTGGATTGTATTAGGCCGAGGAAGCATATTTAAGGGGACCGCTGTGCTCCTTTCGTGTAGCGGTGCTATTGTTCGTACGTCGCTTGTACGCCGTCAAGTCATGTTACACGGTTAGAAGCCACAGCCCTGCGCTACCTCGTTTACATCTAGCTATGGGGTTTGTTCATAATGTTTATCGAGTAGTGGAGATATCGGCGCGGAGCTAGGTACCATGATGACTTCGTCATGCGGAGATAGATGTGGCATTTACGGCAGGACTATGAGAGGATTGAAACAGCCAGTCTTGTGCTTGGCGATGAAAAAGAATATGAAGAATCTGCTAATATGTAGACACATGCTGACGGACAACAGCTTCGAGGATCAAAGAAAATAGGGTATATACGAACGGGGTGAAGGACAAGAGCAGCGTCGAGCAGCTCAAGGGATTATGCAAACAAATGGAAACCATCGAACCAGAAACACACTAAGAATACCACACATATGCCTCGGTGCTGGAAGAGCAAATACAAACATCCGGAACGCCGTCCCTGTTTACGGTCACAAGTGGCCAAGTAGATATCCCGCATCAAGGCCACAGAGCGATGGCCACGCCAAAGCGCTCACAAATAAGACGAGGTTAAACCCAAAACGAGATAGACGGACGGGGGTATGGGCCATAATGGGTCCATCGCGCCCAAGAGTAGACCAACTAGACGAAACCTTTTGCGATATTGGATAAACCACAGACGTGCATTGTCAGAGCCGGAAGGCCAGGTAACGTCGAAGCTGAATAAGGATACAACCCCCATCATCGGTATGTGCAAATACAGGATCCAATAAGTTCATTGGATTATGCAGCGACACCCCGGGCTTCGTTCACTGGCTTCACGTTCCCGCGAGTACTGTGGCTTAGAGCCTTTGGCATCCTCCTCATCGACAAGTTCCTGAGGTTTGATTGTCATGTGCACCACATTGGGAGCATCATGGTTAAATTTGGAGTCTAATACTTGAATCAGCATTTCGCCAAGTGACCCTTAGCTTGGTAAATATATAACATACCTGACAGAGGCGCTTTATCATCGAGCAGTTTACCAAACGAGATCAGCCGAATGTAACTCGGCGATGATGGTCGCGGTTCCCAATCTACAGATGCGCACATTAGTCTTACTCGATCTCACCCAGTCCGGTTTTTGATAGCTGTCTGCGCCAATACATACCTTGTCGCCATTCCCTCCAGATCAACTCCTTAAGCGTGTATACGCTCATCGCAAAAGGATCGTTGTTTTCCACATTCACCGATCGTTTTCGGAGATACTTCCCATCGATCTTGAACGGATGTCGCGAGCCTGATGTCAAAAGCAATGTGATCATCAACGACGGACCCTGGTCTTCCTCCTTCGCGTCAGATTCCTGCGATGCCTGCTCCACAGGGGGCGCCTCAATAGTCGAGGCCCCGGACTCAACGGCGGGCGCATTGGAAGTCGGGAGAGTATTCGCATCACTTGGTTGTTGGGGTGGAGGAGCACTTTCGCCACCGGCGACAGGCTGTGTATTTGACGTTTCGGTCACTATATGTTGATGGGGGGTACTTTCATGATGGCCAGAAGTACGAGGGTTCGCCGCCGGTTCTGGGGCTGAAGCAGGAGCGGAGGCTGATTGCCCATTGGATTCTGGGGAGTGCACAGCGGTGGTGGTAGGAGCCAAATGCTCATCATTATCTCCAAGTCGCAGACTGTCCGTCTTCAAATTATCGTCGTTGGAGGCCATGTTTGAACTTGATTTCCTCCGATGGCCGGTCACCCTTGGAAGAGGAAACAATGATGGAATATGGCAGCTTGATGGGGATGAGTGAGGATGGTCGGGGTGTTAAACGAGGGCAACAGTGATTGACAGATTATTCTACCCCAATAGGGACAAGGATGGCGGAACAGTTGCTTGTCAAGTGGGGGAAGGGGAAGAAGGAACGATAAACGAGAGGATAGAACGAAGACGAGCCAGCGATCCGCGGCTAAAAGAAAGGAGACGGGAGTGGGTTTGAATTGAAGGGTAAAAACGAGGCTCAGGCCAAACGGAGGGACCAAACGGAGTGGTTCTATTTCGGGAGAAGGATGAAGGGGGCCATGCGACCGACGAAACAAGCGATAAAGGAGAGGAGTAGGGAGTGAGCGAAGTGTTGCGTCGTGTGTACTGTGTACCCGGTACGACACAGACGGTAGGTAATAATGGGAGGGGGGTGGGGAGAGAAGTCTAGAAAGGAGGCGCGAGAGAGGGCCAGAAGAGGCGAGACGGTTGCGCGGAGAGGAGAAGCTTTGCTAACGGGCAAGATGTCTTTGAGCCCCGGCAAACTGCCAGTTAGAGAAGTTGAAGTTTGGTACTGGGGGCGGAGATGAAGGGGAGAAAAAGGGAAGGAAAGGCGGTGATCTGGTTGGCTTGCTAGTCTTGCCGTATGGAGTCGTTTACTAGTCCTTGGACTTGTATTTCGCACCTTGGTGGCTTTAGTCTATAAAGTATTTTAATGACAGTTTCCACTCAATCTAGGTAAACAATCAATTACCTTCCTTGGCTATTTTCCCTCTTCTCTTCGTTCGACTGGAGAGGATGGCACATAGGGCAATGATCAATTGCCGATCGGCTCGGCGCGTGCGGAGATCCTGCAGCATGAAATTGTACAGTACATAAGGACATATGTATGACGTGGTTTTGTCTGAACCGTTTCCTCGGATAAAAATAAGCTATCCGCGACGTACATATCTACGCACGTCAGGCTAGGGAAATGTCGTTCAATAAAGATTGCTTACCGGTATCGGGTGGAAACAGCTTCAGGGACATATATTGAGTTAGGGCTATGTTACTTGACAAAATCCGGCTCCTCATCAACTAAACTTTTCTGGTTGACGCTTGCCAGCTGTCTTTGTGATAATACAACCAAGGCTCAGAAATCGCAGATCAGACTCTTTCCGTGTTCGTTAGAGATACTAGTTCGAGCAGGGCGCTCCAAGTTCAATTGCCCTGGCTTTGATCATCTTAAAGGAGTATATCGTCGCACCAAACTAGGACACCACATGCACATGAACGGTACACCCAAAGCAAGTCTCTAAATTAGAATTCGACGACTCCTTGAATCGATTAAATCTTCTATTTCCAGTTATGTACGTAGACTGTGGATTAGCTAACTTGCAGTGTTCCTTGGAGAATTACGCCCATACACCCTTTTTCAAGATCAATCTGAGCTTGAAACAAAGCGTGACTTTAAGATTAAATTCTGTAGAGAGTTCCCAATTTAGGTTGGCAGATCTACCCTTCGTTCATGAATTTGTCAACTTCGGGATCAGACTTCTATTGCCGAGTCGTGTTACCCTAACGCCGTGCTACACTATGAGCCCTGAAGAAAGTCTCACAGATGATGTCACGCTCAGCTTCATCAGAGGCCTCTGTTATACGTGCTCTGAAATTTATGTTTATGTTTCATTTTCATGTCTTATCCGCCACTGTTCCTATGTTATAGGGTAGTGATACGCTGTAACTGTGATCCCGCTCGAGAAAAGGACTCATTTCTCCTTTCAGCTGAATTGTTCTGCACACCACAAGATCAAACGACCCGACATGGCTTAGTTATAGCTTCCGACATCCTGTCTCAAGTAACAGACAGTTCAGTTTTGTTTCGTCGCCCGAATGGCTATCTACACCACCAAACCACTCTGAAGACATACGATGTGTCCATGTCAAGAATAGCCTTCCTGGCCAATAGCACGTAGGAATCTGAAAGGCTGGATAATGGTCTGGGGGTAATCAACGAGCCTCTCTCTTTTGCGAATGGGTGAAAGCATCTGGGTCTCATAATCACGCCTCCTTTCATGTCACAGGGTTCATGAGTAATTGAGGAATATAGACACCCGCCAAGATATGAAGATCTCTCGCTGACCGATGATCCGATTTTTGTTTTTCTAAGTGGAGACCAAGCAAGGAGAAATGGAATGCTACCTATCCCGTACCGAATTGAGGACCCATTGAGAAGTGTGTTGTGTACATTCTTCCCCCACATCCCCTGAGGATACTGTGGGTGTTCGTGCCATTTTGACTGAGCCAAGTGCTGATCGCCAACAGGAAAATCTTCTTAGCCGGAAAGGCTTTCAAGAAATGGTTGAGGTATTGTACTTCGGCTGCATCTGCTGGGGAGGTTCGCTGATCACTGTATATATATTCGGACTCTTGAGTCCTAGCTTTGTAGGCCTAGCATGCCCCTTTCTCAACAATTCAGATGTAGCTTAGTTTTTTCTTTTTGTTCATTTCCTGAGTAATAGAAATCCTATTTAATGACTAATTTCATATGAATCTGTCATAGTGACTTTCCGCTTATTGAAGAGTCTCCCTGCATTGCTTGGGATTTCAAATTCCCTCCAAGCTTTATTGCTCATTGCCTGTCAATTGATAAAATCCGGACATAGGGCATCGCACAGCGCATATTGATGTCGGAACGGTTTTCATAACGGTTTTCGTGCCTGCATTTGCATATAATAAAGGATGTTCAAGCTTGACTTGAACTCCAAGTCCCAGAAGATATACTTATGTATCAACACCTGAAAGCGCGCGAATTCTCTTAACAGGGTGATTTTATCTAATGAGCTTCCCTCACTGATTCAAGACAACATATTTAAGTGAAGCAAGGGAAAGCAGTTCACAATGTCAGGTGATGTTTGATCAACGCCCTATATACTCAAATCGAAATAAGCAACTGATGAGTGGGTCTTGTCCCCTAAAAGTGGCATGTAAGTTGGCCGATTGATAATAAATCCCCGTCCGAGGAGAAGAAAATACTTTTCCAGCAAATTTAGAGGTCTGTACTAATTATGATTCAACATCTACCTGGACCAGTGAGGCATTTTGATGCCGCGATAATCTAGAAAAATATCGTGACTAATTGGGATGATTTTGCCATCTTCTAGATCACTGGAAGAAAAAGTTTTCCTTACGATATTCCATTAAATTCTCTATTAATAGGTTCATAAGGACCGGATAAAACGGCTATCTTAATGGCGCGAGAACTTGCCGATAATCTTGTTTTGGTAGTGTACTGTATAGATCGCCTCATCAGTCATACAATTGAATAATTTGTTCCTCAGTAGGGCCAAGCTAGACCGTCTCCACTTAGTGTTGCGATTTTTTTCTAATACAGTGTCTCCCTGATCTACGAGGTACCCATACAAAGTATGCACAGCAAAAGTATAACAGTAATATTACTCCATCATAGAAGAATAAGGGAAATAAAAGAAAGAACCAATTATAGAGCCCATGGGATTCATTCTTCATTGATGCTTTCATATTTCGTAATGACAGTATGAATTGATGTCACACTCTGGGCCTAAATCCTAGACGGGAGATAGTAGCATGCCAATCCTATGACAGGGATCCTCTCACGCCACTCAACAATCGACGTCTTCCAACACTGCACATTTCTTTTTCTGCCAGGTCACCTGCCAGGCAAATCTTCTGCTCGCACCTGACTAAAGCTCGAACGTGTTCATAGGGGATGAGCAAAAGTCGAACGGAGTCCAGATAAGAGTCGGTGGGTCCCTTGCCTTCTGGAATGTCTGAACTATAGCGCATTTCACTACTTCCTTACCTTAGCTCTATCATCGTCCGATCGCCACAACAGGAATCCTGCGGTCTCATAACTGGAAAGTCGCATTGCACTCCCCTGACTATCGTGACATCACCCCAACTGAGGGACGCGTTGACAATAGCAAAGTAGACAGTTTGTCCCAATGAAATGGACACAGAAATTATTAAGGTATCGAATCATTTGATTGCAATTGAGGTCAGTTGCCTATCATACCTTGGGTCGAAAGCGATGTGCCCGTTTAAGATCCCTTAGCCGTGGTACCCGAGCCGACTAAATGTCTACACTGCAATTGAAGTCAAGTGGGCCTTCCCATATGCTATCATGCGATTCTTGGCTCTGATATGCAGAGTCTCCGCGGCAGATATCTTTGATGCAATCTAAAGTATCCTGGCCTGGGTCTAGATTTGGTTGGGTCATATGCCCAAGCTCCCAACATGGACCATTGTTTTTTTAAGCTGCAAGCTGGACTGCCACGCCTACAACTATTTACAGACGATGCCCGCCTAGATGATTTGATTTTCATTGATTCAAGAATTCTCACTTCACTCTCACCTCATAATAATGCTACAGCCGTCGCTACACGCCCCTGACTATATAACCCGGACTAAGTCCAGGGAGCCTGAGCTCACTATCAATCTCACTGAGCCCGCGGTGTTCATACCTACATACACACATAAATCCGCTGTCCTGAGGGGTTCTTGTGAATTGAAGATCAAGGAGACGTTAATGGTGAAGAGATTGACCGTCAATTTTAGCGGGGTTTCTCATGTACACTGGCCTCATGGTAAGGAATCCAAGATGCGGTTAAACAAACTGCTCTACGACAAATGTGCGAGAGAATTGTCTAACAGGATGTAGGTCTTTATGATTCGAAGACCATCGCAGATCGTACGCTGACGGTGTTTGGTCCGGATATCTCAGGGACTGCACCCCAATACCATGTCGATCAAGAAAATCTAGGAATGTTGGAAACGGGTATCACGGAATGCAATACATCGCGCCAAAAATGCGGATTGTGGGGCACCATCACGAACAAGTTATGTTCGAAATGCAAAAGTACAGCCCCGCCAGAGTATCAGCTATTGAATCCCGGTACCTATACTTACGACTTCGAAATGATATTGCCCCCTCAGCTGCCAGAGTCGGTTAATGTACGGCGGAGCCATGTTCAATACAATGTCCGAGCCTGTCTAGAACTCCCGGGGCATTTCAGGCATAGCATCGTCCAGAACATGCCGATCGCTGCCATCCACTGTCCGGCAGAGGATTTCGTGGAGGATGCAGAGCCGGTTTACATTGCTCGGGCCTGGAAGCGCTTGCTCCGATGTGACATCCTTATGTCGAGAAGAGGCGCTCCTCTCTGTCATATATTACCTGTGACTGTGTCTTTTGCCGAGCTGGCCAACACGAGGTTCCATGGCTTGCAAATCTATATTTCGGAGAACGTTCAGTACCTCCGAAAAGATGGTCTTGTTTCTTGCCTTGGACCTTTCAAGAGGAGACTCTTATATGAAGCGGCAGAAGACTTTGTGCCCACTTTGCCGCCCTATAGGTTGGGTGAAGATGATGATCACCTTTCAGAAAAAAGCGGCTGTGGTGGACAAGAGAGTGTGGTGCTTACGGAGTGCGAGCACAAACCCGCGACCTCCGAGGGCATGACGCTGAATATCGACTTGACGTTACCCACCTGCCAGGACCACTCTGAGGATAATTGGATGCACTTTAGCACTGAGTATAAGAGCGCAAGAGTGTACCATTGGCTTGATGTAAGTCCATCAGTGATTTAGTGCGAGAGAAACCTGTAGTAATGACGCGTCCAGTTTGTGTTTTCCATGTCCAGACCTGGGGCGCCAGTCGTGCAGAGGATCGCCAGGGTTCCACTGTCGCTGCGATCCTGTTATGCACAACACGCCAACGCGTCCCTGCCGGCTTATTCACAAACATGTGAAATAAAGCCGTTTAACACAATTCACGCCGAGGGATCTTTTGACCAAGGATCTTTTGATCAAGACCAGCACTGGTGGTCGGAAAACGACCGTAGATATTCTGTTTCTTGATGATGGGTTTCGGGCTCCCGAAGATTGTGGGCATAAGCTTTCACTTGGCTTGCATTACGACCAATGATAGTGACTAGTTCGGGTTTGATAAACTTGACGTCGCCCAAGTACCCATGCAACGTTTGGACGACGAGCAAAAGAATTTTCACACATGTTGTCTCCATCAGTGGGGACGACTCGTGACTGTGTGGTGGAATTAAACAACGGGTATTACATCATTGCCCTTCCACCGCGCTGGTGATAGGTCCACCTCTACCTCTGATTCTACACTCTATGGTGTTTCCAAGTGGCCCTGCATTACTTCCTCCAGTCAGAGAATTCTGGAATGATGTCAAAGGACAGTACTGCCCACGGTCTCTATCACTGTGGAGGTGGAAACCATTCTCCCCATAGGGTCTTCCTCCCATATTGGGGTATGTGACGCCACAGGTTACCACACGCAGTATCTCCCGTCGACGATTGCCGTCGACCTGGAGCCGTTCCTTGCTTAAAAACCGGATGGTCCTATTGTCCTGTACATAAGTTTTCTTTCTCAGTCCAGTTTCTTTCTAATATTATATCAATTCAATTCCTGCTCTACCCCTGATATTGCGCATTGTGCTTTCAACGTAGTATAGTATTCTCACTATGGCGCCTCCCACCTATGCGGGGATGTCAGGGCGGAAACTGTCCCTGACAGTGTCTACCATTGCAACAATGGGGTTCTTGCTTTTCGGATATGATCGTGAGTCTCTACTCTTTGCATATATCTAGGGGAAGCTACGCTGACCACGGCTGTAGAAGGTGTGATGTCGGGCATCATCTCAGACCCGGCCTTCAACGACATGTTCACGGCAACCAAGGACGACAATACAATGCAGGCTACTGTAACTGCAGTCTATGAAGTCGGTAAGTGGCCAATGCGACCCTAACAATGCGCTTCTTCGTTCGAATAAGCTAATCCTCCAATGTAGGTTGTCTCTTCGGTGCAATCCTCGCATTGCTATTTGGAGACCGGACGGGTCGCCGGTGGATGGTTATCTCTGGTGCCACTATTATGATTGTCGGTGTCGTTATTCAGGTGTCTGCTATGCCCGGCTCGCTTCCCCTTCTTCAATTCATCTTCGGTCGAGTCATTACTGGCATTGGGAATGGAATGAACACTTCAACAATCCCCACATATCAAGCTGAATGTTCCAAGACCAGCAACCGAGGTCTTCTTATCTGCATCGAAGGTGGTATCATCGCAATAGGTACAGCTATTGCATACTGGATCGATTATGGTGCACACTACGGACCACAAGACCTCGTATGGAGATTTCCGATCGCGTTCCAGGTCGTCTTCGGAATCATTATTATTGTCGGCATGTTCTACCTACCCGAATCACCTCGCTATCTCATCGCCCACGACAAAGTCGCCGAAGGCGAGCGGGTGCTCGCCGCGCTAGCTGGTACTGAGATCGAGGATCGTCACACCCAAACAGAAAAGAATCTGATTCTCGATTCCGTCCGAGCGTACGCCTTCCTCTTCTATGATTTGTTCCTGGCCCTTGAAGCTTACCATGAGACAGTTCAGGAGCCACGAAAGCCAAGTTCAGCGATCTGCTTACTGGTGGACCATCCCAGCATCTGCGCCGCATGCTCGTGGGTTCGTCGTCGCAGATGTTCCAGCAGATCTCTGGCTGCAACGCTGTCATCTATTATCTCCCAGTCTTGCTTGAGCAGTCTATTGGTCAGTCGCATAACTTTGCGCTCCTGATCGGCGGTATCAACATGATCTGCTACGCCATCTTCGCGACGTTCTCATGGTTCTTCATCGAAAAGATTGGCCGCCGTAAATTGTTCCTGGGAGGCAGTTACGGGCAGTGCGCAGCAATGATCATTGTATTCGCCTGTCTTATTCCTGGCGATAAACAAAGTGCAAAGGGAGCCGTCTTCGGCTTTTTCCTGTACATGTGTTTCTTCGGAGCCACTTGGCTGCCCTTACCATGGCTCTATCCTGCTGAACTCTCCCCTATCAAGACCCGAGCCAAGGCCAATGCCATTTCCACATGCAACAACTGGTTGTTTAACTTTACAGTGGTCATGATCACCCCTGTTATGGTGGAGCATATCGGCTGGGGCACATACCTGTTCTTCGCTGCATGGAACGCGGTCTTCATTCCCATCATCTGGCTTTTCTACCCAGAAACGGCAGGTCGTAGCCTGGAAGAGATCGACCTGATCTTCGCCAAGGGCTACGTGGAGAATATGAGCTATGTGCGCGCGGCGAAAGAACTCCCCAAGCTCTCCGACGATGAAATCGAGGCCAAGGCAGCCGAGTACGGCATCCTCGACAACAACGAGAAAGTCGAGGAGCGAATCGCCGAACATGCCCCGCAGGACTCGCAGGAATACTCGTCCTACCTGCCCAGTCAACTATAAGCGTATTATATGATGGTGTGAGATTCATCAACTCACTGTTCTATACTGAACAAAACCATAAACTTCAAAAGAATATGTACTATGAAGGCGTTTCGGACTCCCTATACTTGCTTTTGCCGGATACCCATGATATCAGGGAATGTTTTTATGCGATGGATATGTAGTATGTTTGCACATACATTTGGATTATTGTGTCAAATACAATGTTATGTTTATGTAGTAGTTATGATGACCTTCGGGTCGGTTACGTGCCCAACGCCATCAACTGTTCTTATGATTATACAAGACATCTCTTAGCTTTGGCAGCTATGGCCTATTCTACATCGAGCCAGAAAGATAATAATAAAGATTGGCAAGGATATATACCAAATGCAAAGACACGATCAAAGTCACACCACCCTCCATGAGAAATCAGATCTTAACTCCCCCCCCCAAACCAGAACCCTAGTGAGATGTACTCTTAATACCCCCAGGATCAGAACTAGAAAACCAACCAGATCATCAGCACATCCCAAAAAGCCACGCCAACAACACTCAGATTCCTTACCTCATAACCACCTTCTTCGAAACAACCCAAACACAAGTCCCGACAAGAGCAATCTTGATCAATCCCCCGATACCCCCGCGACCGAATCGGGGCTGGAGACGACGGTTATAGTAGAAGTTCGGGTTGAAGGGAGCAGAACGCATATCGATGATTAGTAGTGGGTATGAGGGCGCCTTTGTCCGAAGGTAAAGAGGATGGTGCAACGAGGTATATGATTTGGTAGGGTTGGGCTCATTGAGCACTACTTGGCTGTGTAGAATAGGTTTATTATATGCTGTTCTCGGGGTTTGGGTAATTGTCCGGGGGCGAGGTTTTAGCACCGAAGTTCGGCCTTAAGATATACGTAGGTGAGTCTGGGGAGCGGGATTCCGGGTTTGTGGAGCTGTTTTTTTTTTTTT